GTCATACAACCTTCGTCATCGCGCACGTAGCCTCGACAGGCTCACTCCATGGCAAGAAGTGTGGATCACAGACCAGAGAGCCAGTGGTGCCGTTATTGACAGCCACACTACACCACAATCATATCTCGTGGAGGGACCTCGTGGGACAATTAGGCGGAACCCTCGGCATCTTGTTCCCATGAAACGCCCTCCGGACCAAACAGAGTGATAGTGGGGAGCCAGAATTGGCAGGATCCGGGGAGCAGTGCTCCACAGACATTCCAGTGACAGTTTCTTCAGAACTTCCAATCTACACCCAGAACCAGATCTAGGAGAGTAGTTGTGAGACCAACCAGACTAGACTTGTAACGGATCACATGAAACGCACACCCCCCTGTCACAGTATTCTTTGCACAGTAAGGGAAAAGCTAAAGTTTGTAATTTTCAAATATGTATGTCCAGAAGTTGGGAAGCACCAGGGATGGGAATCATACAGTGGACACGTGTATAATTAATAACATGACAGGTTCTGTTTCATTAAACAATTTCTGCCAATATTTAACTGTCAGACAAATGGCCTCACATTTGTTTCTAGAATACTTTGGTAAACAGACGTTTCCATCAAACGTGTTGCTGTGCATCATGGACAAATGTCTTTACTTTGGTCTCATTTGTTCAAAGGACGTTTTTCCAGAACTCTTGTGGTTTATTCAGATGCAACTTTGCAAACCTAACCTGTGCTGCATCGTCCTTGAGTTTTACCTGACCGAAAGTTTTTGTTCATGATTATATTTAGCAGCGATATTTGGCAAAACATCAGCACAGGTGAGGACAAGATGTCAACAGGGCATAACCTCACCTTAACAGAGTGAAGAAGCTTTTTAAAAATGTTATTTAAGAATTTGGCCTCTGAGAAAATCGTTTTGCTTATGTTATCATATAAACTGCTCATGAATATAAATGAAGGCTTTGTATTGTTTTTCCTACAGTTATCCCAATGTGGATCCAAACAGCTGTCTAATGTGTAAGAAGGTTTTGAGGGATCCAGTCCACTTCAAGTGTGGACACTGGTTATGCAAACAGTGTGTGAGCTCAAACTGGGATCAATCTGGCTCACATGCAGAAAATCTCTGCCTGAGTTGTATTGAGAAATGCCGCCTTAAGAATGTTGAAAGCACAGGTAAGCTTCCACAGGTAAATGCTACTGTCACTGGGATCTTTGATATGTGTGCACCATTTATCCTTGGAAATAAAAGTGATTGCAGCAATCTTACACCAGCTAAACTGCATTTATACTGATAACCTTTTCTTGTTGTGTGACATGTTCTTTTGACATAGAGAGAAGTAGCTTGCCATCACCAGTGTGTGAATGTGTGTGTTAATGGGTGGATGACTGGATGTGTAAAGCGGGGTCTAGTCCTTAGGGACTAGTAAAGCGCTATATAAATACAGGCCATTTACCATTTTACTATGTGTATAGCTTCTGACCTAAGGTTGTTTTTGCATCTATAGTTCTTTTACTCTGGTCTGACTTAGTTGACAAGTTATAAAACTTCAGATTTCAATCAAATCAAATGCATTTATGAGCACATTTAAAAACAACACAGGTTGAACCAAAGTGCGGTACATAATGAAAATGGTGAACATTCATAGAAAATACAATGGAAGACTAGTCACAATTGAAGGCTAGAGAATAAAAGTGCGTTTTCAAGCGGGTTTTAAAGATGTCAAGTGTTGGTGAAGACCTAATGTTAAGGGGCAGACTGTTCCAGAGCTTGGGGGCAGCAACCGCAAAAGCTCAGTCATATCTGTTTTTCTGTCTGGTTCTGGGGATATCCAGAAGCAACTTATCTGCCGACTTAAGAACTCTGCTTGGAGTATTATTTAAAGTTAAAAAGTTAAAAGTATTAGTTAAAAGGTCCAAGAGATAAGATGGAGCTAATCCATTCAGAGATTTAAAAACAAACAACAAAATCTTGATTTTGATTCTACGATGTACTGGTAACCAGTGTAAACGTGCCAGGATTGATGTGTTCAAAATGGCGAGTGACTGTTAGGAGTAGGGCCGCCGCATTCTGAACTAGCTGCAAACGAGAGAGTAGGACCTGGTTAATACCAAAATAGAGAATATTGCAATAGTCAAGCCTAGATGAAACAAATGCATGAATCACTCTCTCGAAATCGGCAGATGACAACATGGTCTTGTTTTTTGCAATGGCTCTCAACTGGAAAAAGCTGGTTTTAATAACAGAATTTATTTGTTTCTCAAATGAGAAAGAGCTATCGAGAAACACTCCTAAATTTTTAGCAAACGGCATTCTGAACTTTTCCAGTGGACCAAGGTCAACATTAAGGGAAAAACGGAGGTCAGAGGGTCCGAATAGTATAATCTCAGTTTTTTAATCATTTATATGCAAAATATTCAAAAAGAACCATGATTTAATGTCATCAAGTCAGTCAAGTAAAACTTTAAAACTCCAATCAGTTAAGTAGGATCTGAACCATTTAAGTGCAGTACCCTTAATGCCCACACAGTTTTCCAATCTCGATAGCAGAATCCCATGATCCACTGTATCAAATGCCGCACTCAAAATCTAAAAGCACTAAAATGATGTGATTACCAGAATCGGTAGTCATAAAAGACCATTAAGAACTGTTAAAAGCACAATTTCAGTGGTATGTGGTGCTTTAAAACCAGACTGAAATGATTCTAAGATGGCATTAGTCTCCAGAAAGGCCTGGAGCTGAATAAAAGCAAATTTTTCTAAAATTTTAGACAGAAAAGAAAGTTTAGGGATTGGTCTAAAATTTGAAATAACAGTTGCATCAAGGTTAGTCTTTTTTAATAGTGTGTTTAAGATCAAGTGGAACTCCTCCCGTAAAAAGAGAGGTGTTGATAACAGTTAAAACATGAGGGCCAATAGTGTCAAAGACTTCTTTAAAAAGACTAGAGGAGATAGTGTCAAGGTGACACATAGAGTCCTTAAGACGGGAGACTAGTTCAGCCAGAGAGTTCAGAGAAATCGGCTCGAAGTGATCAAACACAACTGAGGAAAACAAGGGAACAGAGGGATCATAGGGCGGAGGAATGAAATAAGACCTAATAGTATCCACCTTATCAACAAAAAAACGTAAAAAGTTTTCACAGGTACCAAGGGACCCTAGTAATTGAGAGGTGGATGGAGGATTGATAACAGAGTGATTAGTATTGAATAAGATACAAGGGCTGTAGCTGTGTTTGCTGATAATATCCGATAGGTACGATTGGATAGGTAGTTTTTGCTTTATGCACAGCATCTTGATAAAGAGACAAACCATCTCTTAACATAGCAAAGGAAATCTGAAGTTTGTCTTTTTCCATTTTCTTTCGGTCTTTCTACAGGTCCTTCTAATGGCCCGGGTGTCCTTGTTTAGCCAGGGATCAGTTTTAGGTCTAGAGCGTTTAGTTTTTCTAAAAGGAGCAGCCATATCTAGGACATTTGTACAGGTGACATTAAACATGGTAAGCAAATGATCAACATTTTGCTTAAAGGAGCAATTGTCCATGATAGGGAGACCAGAATTCTGATAAGCAGCAGAGAATTGCTCCGCAGTAACTGGTGTAATGATGCGGTATTGGCGGACAGGAAGAGGAGGCTTAACTAAGGAGTATGGGACAGAAATTTTGAATAAGACAGGCATATGATCCAAAAGGTTAAGGTTACAAATTTGAATATCCTATAGCTGCAGACCGCAGGATAAAACTAGGTCCAAGGTTTGTCCGTGCTCATGGGTGGGAGTCTTTGCTGATCGGAACGAGATTAAAGGAATTAATAAGATCCAAAAGTTGTTTTTGGTGACAAAAAAACATGAATATTAAAATCACCAAGGATTAAAATGCTGTCAATGTCCAGAATGCAAAGAATAAGTAGTTACAGGAAGGTGTTTAGCTCAAACTTGGAAAATACACCTGGTAGTTAGGTTGAATCGAAGCTGGATCACTTTTCACACTTTAAACAAACTGCACCAATCTGGACTTTGGAACCGAACCAAGACCTTCTCCTCAAGTATGATTATCATACTTGTTGTTCACACCCGCACAAACAAACTTTACCAAAGGGGAAAATGAGCAGAGTTGTACTTATATGAACTAAACAACATAGGTGTGAAAACACCTTAAGACTCCAGTTTTCATCTAAATTTAGGATGCCAAAGGTAGATGCCAAATTTTAACAATTTTGCCCAACGCAGCTTTTATTTATTAAACAAAATGTAATAAATTCCTGTTTACAAATCTGAAAACATTGCTCTGTTTGATTCCAGGGAACATCCTCCTTGTCAAAGTAAAGGAAAATTTGAAAAAGGCAGTGAAAAAGAAATTTGCTCTGACATTTGAAGGTAATGGTGACCAAGAAAATCTACTCCAGAACATCTACACAATGTTGTTCATCACCACCGGAGAGAGTGGAAGACTAAATGAAGAGCATCAATTCAAAAGTAAATGGAAAACGCAATCATCCAATGACTGTTCAGTCAACCTCAGTCACATATTCAAATCATTTTCTGCCCAAACCAAACCCCACAGAACAGTTGTGACGAAGGGCGTTGCAGGCATTGGGAAGTCTCTGGCTGTACAGAAATTCATTCTTGACTGGGCCGAAGAGAAGGAAAACCAAGATCTTGACTTTGTTTTCAGTCTTGCTTTCAGAGAGCTGAATTTGATTTCAGGTGAAAAAAGCCTACATGAGCTCCTAACTTTATTTCACCCCACACTGTCAGAACTCAAAGATTCAGTGGATTATACCAAAACCAAGATTGTTCTGATCCTGGACGGTCTGGATGAAAGCAGGTTTCATCTGGACTTTGAAGGCACTGAGACAGTATCATCTGTCAAGGAAGTAACACCTGTGAGTAATCTCCTAGCAAACATCATCCAGGGTAACCTTCTTCCTGATGCAAATCTCTGGATTACTTCCCGTCCAGCAGCAGCCAATCAGATCCCTGCAGAACATGTTGACATGGTGACAGAGATAAGAGGTTTCAATGATCCTCAAAAAGCTGAATACTTCAGGAGGAGATTTAGTCATGATCCTGGTCTTGCTGAAAGGATCATTAAACATATTCAGTCTTCACAGAGTCTCGACAGCATGTGTCAGATCCCGATCTTCTGCTGGATTTCTGCAGTGGTATTCCAGGAAGTCTTTGGAGGAGATGTTGAAACTGCAATTCCTCAAACTCTTACAGAGATGATGTCACACTTCCTGTTTGCACAAACAAAGCGTAGAAGCAGAAAATATGACAAGAAGGTTGAGACAAACAAAGAAAAGCTTCTGAAGACACACAAAGAATTTCTTCTGAAACTCGGCAAGCTTGCATTTGAGCAGCTGCTGAAGAGCAACCTCATCTTCTATGAGGAAGACCTGGAAGACTTTGGCATTGACATTAAAGAAGCATCCATCTACTCTGGATTTTGCACCACAGTCCATTTGGAAGAACAACTCTTTTCCAACAAAAGGGTCTTTTGCTTTGTGCATCTGACCGTACAGGAGTTCTTTGCAGCTCTCTTTGTCTATGACTGTTTTATTAACAATAATACTACAGAACTTAAAAACTTCCTCATTTTGGAGGACAAAGACCATACGTTACTTGATCTTGTAAAGGTGACAGTTGACAAAGTGCTGGAGAAGAAGAAAAATGGCCACCTGGACTTCTTCCTGAGATTCCTTCTTGGCCTCCTGGTTGAACCCAACCGGAGAGTCCTTCATGGTCTGCTGCCTTCACCAGATCAAAGCCAAGATACCGACAAGAAAATCTTGACTTACCTCAAGTCTATCAGAAGGAAGAACCTCTCTCCAGAAAGCTGCATCAACCTTTTCCAGACTATGATCGAGATGAGAGATCACAAAGTCAAAGATGAGATTCAGGAATATCTCGCACTGTCAGATCGCTCAAAAACAGAGTTGACTCCCCTGCACTGCTCTGCACTGGCCTACATGCTGCAGGTATCAAAGAATGATTTGGAAGTCTTGGACTTGAAGAGTTACAACACATCAGATGAGGGCAGACGGAGGCTGATACCAGCAGTGAGGAAGAGTAGAAAAGCTATGTAAGTTTGTAGCAATAATTTACTTTCATGTTGAATAACAACATGTTAAATATACTTTTCTGTCAATCAGATTGTGTAAGGTCAGGGTTTGCTGGAAAGGAACTGTTCTTGATCAAGCTGATCAAGTGTCATCCTTAAGCCTTTGTCATGGCATGGATTTAATTTATGACCACAGCAACCACTTCCCTGATGACTTTATGGTCTTAATTGTTACTTTTTTTTAATCCCAAGTTGAATAAAACAAGATAGGATTATTTGATAAAATAATAAAACATTCTGCTCAAAGAGGGACAAGATCATCTAGCTAAATCAGCTGACATTATCTACTCAATACTTTACAACAAAAAGATGAGAATGGCCAAAATGTAAAAATAACGGTTTCAAAACTTCTGTCTCATAACACTTTTTAAAACCTTTAATTTTTTTCTTTATTTGTCTACAGAATGAAACAGCTTTGTTCTCTTTATACTAACACTTAAACACCCACCCACAGGTTAGCAGATTGCAAAGTGACCTCGGTGTCAGCTGAGCATTTGGCTTTTGCTCTCAAGTTCTACTGCTCATCCCTGAGAGATCTAGACCTCAGTGACAATGACCTGAAAGATTCAGGGTTGAAGTTACTCTGTGATGGACTATCAAGTCAGTGCTGCAGGCTGGAGATACTCAGGTAGTAACACATAAAGTACACCAAAAGACACTAGTAATGGACCTCCTTTAGCCAGATTTAAGCTGAAAAGAAAACTGCTAGAAATGTGACTCTGTATAATAAAAAGGATAGTTCTTGCTCTGATTTCAGTGAGGTCTTTGTCAAGAATAAGATAGTATACTTAGATTGACAAAGAATTGTCTTGAACACTGTACACTTCTGACACTCAGGAGTCACCATCTTGGTTTGATACCTGAGTGGCAACCCACCAGTGGAAAAAGAAAGGAACATCTGAACTAGCCCATTAACATTGGCATATTAGTTTTTCACACAGTGATGTTACATGGGTTGGTTGACGGGGGTTGTTTGGTATTATTATGTGTGGTCAGAAGGTCAATAATAAGTTAACAATCATAGTCAGCTGTTGCAATCATCAGTTTAGGCACATAACTTGCTTTGTTTGGTAAGCAAGAACAAAATGTACTACTGGAATTATTTCAACTGAAAAAGTGTCTGTTTTATCAGGTTATCCGGTTGTCTGGTCACAGCGACAGGCTGTGCATATCTGACTTCAGCTCTACAGCTCAACCCGATTCATCTGATAGAGTTGGATCTGAGCTACAACCACCCAGGAGACTCTGGAGAGAAGCAGCTGTCTAAGCTGAAGAATGATCCTCGATACAAGCTGAGCAAACTCAGGTAATGGAATTTTTTTAAAGTAATTTTTTAAAACTTCATTAAGAAACATAATTAAATCTGAGATACTTTTCTCCACAGTGTTGAACACGGTGGAAGTCACAGAATGAAACCAAGCTTCAAGAAATGTAAGCACTTCAGTTATTTTTGGTGGCAATAAGTAACAAATCAATGAAATTATGATCTAGTAACAGATCATTGTTCAAAGTGGCATGGCTTCTTTTTGTTGTTGCAATGAAGTGTTTTCTTATTGCCAGATGCCTGTGAACTCACTCTGGACTCCAACACAGCACACACAAACCTGCTTTTCTCTGATGGGAATAGAAAGGTGACCTGGATGGAAGTTGACCATCCACATCCTGATCCCAAAAAACAGCAGGTGCTGTGTGAGCAGAGCCTCAATGGGCGCTGCTACTGGGAGGTGGAAGTGTTTGGCTTTCTATGCGTTGGGATTACAATCAGAAGAAGAGGCACAGAAGGAAAGAAAAATGAGTTTAAGATGGGATACGATGACAAATCCTGGTGTCTGGTTTTCTCTGATGATGGTTTTTACATTCTGCACCGTAACAAGAAAGTAGACGTGCCTTCAGCTGGATGGCGCTCCAGTCGGGTGGGTGTGTATGTGGATTGTTCAGCTGGCACGCTGTCCTTCTACAGGGTTTCTAATGACAGCTGCATCCTCCTTCATAGCTACAAAACAGCCTTTAACGAACCCCTTTATCCTGCTGTTGAGCTTCACTCTCAGTCGTCTGCTTCATTTTGTCAGCTAACCTAAGTTTCACCTGCATCTGCAAGTTCTGTCCATCAGTTCCACACATTAAACTGCTTTTACGAGTATCCCATTGTTTTTCCATGTTGTCCTAATGAAGTTCTAGGTCATGTTTCACCTATTGTAGCTACATGGTATTCTTTATTTACTCTCTTTTTCGAATATTTTTTTAATGATCTGAAACAGTTAAGTGTGACAAATATCCCCCACAAAAAAACAAAAACCCAAAAACTAAGAAATCAGAAAGGGGGAAATACGTTTTTCTGTGCATTGTAACTGCAATCTGCACTCTTGCTGATGAATATGTTTGGTAGATTTACATAATATTTTCAACTACTAAGTCATTCTTCAAACAAAAACTGTTCCAACGTCTCCAATGTGACAATTGGTTACACTTTCCCTGTTTTGTATTTCTCTAAATTTAAAAATTAATATTTTATGTTGCTTGTCAGAAACAATGTCAGCATTTTAAGTGGGCAGTTCTGTTTCATGTATTTTTTGTAGAACTTATTTGTATTTGCTTCAAACTCAAAATCAGGTCTAAACCTCTGAACTCCTAATCTGTAACTTTGAATTAGCAATTTACTCACTTTGATAATTGAACATAGTGCCAAGAAAAATACATTCAATGTAAATGAGCCTGATTTCACAATTACAAAGTAGGAGATTACATTTTAAAAAACTGACTGACAGTGCATAAATTTATGAGTACAACCATCTACTGCTGATTTAAGTAAAGAGCAAGAAGATCTACAGAGGAGAACACAACCAGCAGACCCAGAACATGCACACACAGAACGTTTCTAACCAGATGCTGGAGCCGAACTCAGGACTGCTGTGAGGCTTGCTACTACACCACCATGCTGCCCACATTTGACATGCAGAATGTAGATATTGGTGGCTGTATTAATGTTCTTTTGTCTTCTTTTATTTAGAATTTACCTTTCTCTGTTTTAAATCAAAATGTGTGTGGCAACTCTGAGCATCTTTTACAGCCTTTTCACTACAAATCAGGTGTGTGTGTGTGTGTGTGAGAGAGGCTGTTTCAAAGGCGTTTAGTTTCTGTCCTTTATTTTTACTTAGCTTGAAGCTTGTGTGGAACAAATACTGTTTAAGTTAACAGAAGTCTTAGTATCACAGGTCTGCAATTAACACAAGCGAGGAATTTAGTATTTTATTAAATGAATGTTAGGTCCTGGTTGGCATGTTATGGTCTGACAGTGAAAAATAACCAGAATTCAAATGTGAGGTGAGACTATTAGATGTGATTCAACATGTACAAACTGGTGTCCTGTTTTAGATCACAAATGGCTGCTTGTTGAAAAATAAAATGTTTTTTTAAATTTGCAGTGTAAAGCAGAAGTTTCTAATAGTTTTGTCTTACTGATGCTCATTAAGGAATAACTTCAGACGCTGTTAAAAAAAACTAGTTTCTCCCATTACCAACACAGAGAGGTCTGAGGGATCTTCCAGGAATTATGCCGCTAATTTCCAGAGGCCTGATTGGGCATTATCTCTTATGTTGAACATAACCTGGTCCACAGCTGGGCTGTTGTGGAGCACAGAACAGGTGCTACAAAGCACACCTGTCACAACAAAGCCCAGGTCACTTCATCAAACAAGCTTTTTCTTTTCACAGTTCAGCATGCATGCAGTCTACTTGCTTATACATGCCATCTATACAGGAAATGCACCATTTGAAAGAAACACAAACACCACCTGTCATTTTAATCTGAGAACATAAAAAACCTCCTTCATTAATCCAACCATATTATTATTGGCTCATGTTTCCTATAGGTCACTAACCGTGTTAATGAGGGGGTGACTTCGCCTGAGAGTAAAGGGTGGGGCAGTCTGCCTCACAGCTGCTCTCAGCAACACCAACCCACCCAGAGAAAGGGGGGGGGGGGCTCTTTATCTGTTCAGCACAATAAAAGCCTTTTACATCAAAGGAAACAGAACAGAAGTTAGAGATCAGATCCCACGATATCATTCACCAAACTCCAACCAAACCTCCAGAGAAAAAACAAACAAATACCATTTAGTCCTACATAAAGGCTAATGTGGGACCTACCTGACACTGGGACACTTCAATACAAGACAGGTAAACTGAGATCAGAGTAATGAGTCACATCACAAACTAATCAGCTGCTTTTACCATTTTTAATTCAGTTTTTATACAAATAAGCAAAACTGCAGTAGCTTCACAGCACAACAGGGGGCCCCAGCCCACTGTATGAATCACTGTCAGGTATATTTACTGGTTTGGGATTCAGTTGTTATTTAAAAGTTTTATTTAATGTTGTTTTTAACTCCCCTGTCATTGTGACAGTGCACATTGTCTCCCCACCTCTCCTAATAAACTTAGCATTATAAATACATATGTCCTCAATACATTTGTGGGTTGAGCAGCAGAGTATATGTGGCTTAGAGCCATGGAAAACTTGCCACATCTTCTCTGCCAGTACTAACTGTATTTAGGAGCACGTTAAATTCTGAGTTTCCCTCATATCTTCAAACTTATAGTTTGCCTAAAGTGGACACTAGATTGGAAATT